GGGCAGTGGGGTCCCCCAGGGCTCAGTCCATGGGCCCGCACTGTTCACCATTTTCATCAGTGACTTGGACGAGGGGATAAAAAGCACCCTGTTCAAATTTGCTGACAACACTAAGGTGTGGGGGGATGTGGGCACACTAGAAGGAAGGAATAGGCTACAATCAGACCTAGACAGGTTACAGGGGTGGGCGGATGAGAATAGGATGGGATTCAACGCTGATAAGTGCAACGTGATGCACCTCAAGATGAACAACCAGCACCATACCTACAGGCTCAGGAACTCCCTTCTCGTCAGTGCAGAGGCAGAAAAGGGTCTTGGAGTCATCACTGATGCCAAGATGAAAATGGGCCGGCTGTGTGCGGATGCAGTCAGGAAGGCCAACTGTACGTTGTCATGCATCCACAGATGCATCTCAAGCAGATCCAAGGAGGTGATACTCCCCCTCTTTGCGACACTGGTCAGGCTGCAGCTGGAGTACTATGTCCAGTTCTGGGCGCCACACTTCTAGAGGGATGTGGACAACATGAAGAGGGTCCAGAGGAGGGCCACTTGCATGGTCAGGGAGCAGCAGGGCAGGCCCTCTGAGAAGAGACTTAGGGACCTGAACCTGTTTAGCCTCCACAAGAGAAGGCTGAGAGGGGATCTAGTGGCCTGTTACAAGCTAGTCAGAGGGGACCAGCAGGCATTGTGGGAGACCCTGTTCCCCCAAGCACTACCAGGAGTGACTAGAAATAATGGTCACAAGCTGGCAGAGGGTAGATTCAGATTAGATATCAGGAGGCGCTACTTCACTGTCAGGGCGGCTAGGATCTGGAACCAACTTCCAAGCGAAGTGGTGCTGGCTCCTACCCTGGAGGTCTTTAAGACAAGGCTAGACGAACAACTTGCTGGGGTCATTTGACCCCAGTACTCTTTCCTACCATGGCAGGGGGTCGGACTCGATCTGCTCAGGTCCCTTCCGACCCTACAAACTATGAAATCTTCTCAGAGATTTCATCCATTATAGCAAATTATTCCTAATATAGTGTGTATAGAGAAGCTGGGCATTTAATCTTCATTTTTGTGCAGAGTAATTGAGAGAACAACGTAAACTGAAATGAAACATATCCAAAAAATATTTTCATAGCATTTCTTGTGATAAGAAAATGCAAGGACTGAGCTGAAGCAGTTTACATAACTAAAATCTTAATATACTTCCTACTCGTGCATTTTAATCTATGAAATACTGACTCAATTTTCCCTTGATAAAAGCCATTTGCTTACATAGTGAATACCAATGCAAAAATATTCTGGTGCCAAATGATTAATCTTTTAGAAATATGCTGTATGGTAGCAGGGTATTTAGCTCAGTACTCTCTAAAGCTTAAACATACCCTTGTTTCAGTGACAAAGGGACCCTCATTCACATAAGTGTCACAAGCAGGAGAGAACAGCAGAGTCTGGCTCATAAAAAGCACTCTGAACAATAGGGAAATGAAGTTCTTCATTGCTCAAGCACATTACAATAAAGTACACCAAGCATGGGATATTTCAAGTAGAAACGAAGGGAAGCTGATGTGAAACTGGAGACAGGAGCCATTTGGATCGATTTGGATACATATGTTGCTTTGAATCTTGTAAAAGCAGATACAGATGTATGTGCATATGCAGACATTTTTTTACATGCATCACAGGTCAGAATCAGTTTGTTGATTTCAGAATCGAACAAAACACAATAAGATTAATAATGCTGGCCTGGTCTCTTTCCAGCTAACTCTTTGCCTTTAGTCCATGTCCTAACTACCACCTTCCCCTAGGAATTACAACACTACATAACTACTGCACAAAGGACTAGTGAAATGTCTCATTTGGAAGAAAGATGTTCTTTCAGAAGAAGAAAATTACACACACACTCACACAGAGGCATGCATGCATGCTGATGCACTTGAAGCAATAAAATTAATGGATATTTACTAAGTGTATTTGAAAATTATTTCAAGGACTTGAACACATGATTTAACAACCCATATTACAATAGTGTTATGCTGTAAAAAAGGAGAAAAGTAACATATGTAAAAGCAAGCTTTTAGAAAAACTAGGATCAACAAGAAACACTTCAGTTTCTGTATAATTTGTCTGAATCCCATAGGAAACAGTTAAAAACAAGTCCCACAAACACCCCTTTGCAATGTCTGCAATCCAGATGCTATAGACTGGAAACCATTCATGGATTCACATATCTTATATTACTTAAGAGCATAGGTGTAAATGACAGATGAATATAAGTATTTTTCAGAGCAATAATAGTGTGTTCAAACAGTGACTGGAAACATAAAAGGAACTGCAGATTCAAACAGAAAAAACCATGTACATAAAATAGAAATTGTTTTGACTTATTAGAAGTTATCTGGAATACAGGTAAGAGTCTTTTTTAACATTTTAGCATTTCTTTTTTTAATTTAAACTATTAACATATAGTAAGAAAAATATTTTAAAACATCAAAATAAAAATAAAGAGCAAGATAAGCCTAAAGTTCTACCATTTACTTCAGATTAAAATCAATGACATCAGAGTTGAAGCAATTCCAAAGAGTAATTTAGTTTCTCAAAATGTAGTTGACCTTTAGAACAAACATTTGCCTTATATTTTCATGATGAAATTTACCATGGCATGCAAAAGCCAGTTACTTAAATAGCTTCCAAGGAATCGGATGAAAAATTTTCATTAAATCCAATGTCCTTTGCAATATGCTGCATTAAAACAGTAATAATCCATGATAAAAGGAGGTCAGACAAGTACAGTTCTACTGCTGGGTCATTCATTATTTGGGTTCTAAATTTTGGAAGCAGCATAATAGTTCTGGTGATTATATTTCATTCTTCATAATTTTTATTCTTTTTCACACTTCTGTTACAAGTGCCTTGCTTCTTGCAGGTATTTACACAAACTGGCCAGAAGGCCACAATACCTGGAGTTTTCATCAGAAGGGAGGAAAAAAAAAACAACCCCAAAACCCCAAAAACCTCTCCTTCAATTTTTCAATACTTTTTTCTCCTTTGCCCTCCACCTGCCCCTATCACAGCAGCAGGTTGATAAATGGTCTAAAGTCTTCTATTTGACTTGGCTGTTAATCTTGTGTTCTTCCCGCTCACCCCCACTCCCTTCTCTTCTACCTTCCTCCCTGAGACAGTGCCCTGCAGGCAGGAACCTGTAACCTGAACAAGCCACATAGCCATACTACAGACAAAAATGGAAGCAATCTGTTCTGCAGGATTCTGATTAAGCCTCACTGCAAGTTGCCAATGTAATCCCTGTAGTGGAACAAATATGTGAGTATCCCTACAACACAAAAAAGGACAAGACCATGCAAACACAAGCACATGCTTGATCTTCCTCATATCAGTAACCAATTGACTTTAATAGGGCTGCTCATGGAAACAGAGTTAAGAATGTGTGTAAGCATTTGATGGATTTTCCTGGTGTTCGAAAGGAAGTAAAAAGGTGAGGAAAACCCACTCCCTATTAAAACACTCCTGGGTCTAATCCTTCAAACTCTCCATAAGCAAACAACTACATATAAATTAATAGGACTGCTTGTCAGAGTAGAGGTACAAGTCTCTGAATTAGGCTGGTAAATTTCCAGACACATGCACCTTTATTCTGCTTGACTTCAGACTAATACAGCTAACACCCCTCTATGTGTGCCTTTACCAAAGTAATACAAATTCAAAAGTTTTGCAGTCTAGTCTATAAAGATTCCATAAGTCTATTTTTTTACATAACTTTGGAAGACAAAAATCAATGACATCTCAGTCCAAACACAAAATATTCATTGCAAAGGTATCAGGAGGACAAGTCACCTACCGTTTCCCAGCACAGTTGTTCTGGTTCAGTCCCCCAGTTTGGTTCATTGCAGACCATGCTGTAAGGCCAACATATGGCAAGGCAGCAGCTTCTGTGTGACTGAGACTCTTAGGTTTGAGAGACACCTAAAGCAGAGGGTAAGTTGTGTCTAAACCACAAGGACTGATACATTTGTGAGCTACAAAGAGGCAGCAGATGCATTTTACTGAGTATCAGCTGCCAAGATAACTAGGTTTTAAAAAGCTAAAATACATGAGAAAAAAACCTAAAAATTGCAGAATAGCTATTTATGTGAGGTTTGCAAGAACCAATAGCGTCTATTATTTTGCCAGTATTTCCAAACTTTTGTATGGTTACCTCATTTCCACTAGCTACAACGAACTCTGATAAAGTGCCTTGTTTCCATGGAGGAATTGCTGCCCATACCTAAAAACACAGGGAAAAATATTTCAATTTCTTCTGTTTTCTTTATATTGCATCTACAGCCGAGTCTCCCTCATGGCAAAAATCTCTCTCCTGAACAACTTCATTCTAGATTAAATATATAGTCGTTAACCAAAGTGCCAGTTTTTCTATATCCATCTCGACTAAAAGGTTTCACTTGCTCTCTTACAAATAAAGATATTACAGAAAAACATAAGACAGATGGCCAATAAAAATAAGACATGCTGTACTGTGTGCAATATACTCTTTTTGAAGACAGCAGATTACATTCAGTAGTTCTCTTAAGCTGGTACAAGTACTTGAAAACACAACATATGTTCCAATAAAAAAGGAAAGTTAGAACGAATCATACCAGGATTTTTACGGGGCTCTAAATTTTGTTGGTTATTACCTAATAATTGTAAAATCTCTGGGGTAGGTAAAGATACTCAAGAGAAATTTCCTGTGAAAATAATAGCATCAAACAAGATGTAGCAACTTTTAGGCATTTTTTTTTTTAAATATAGGTAGCTCTGATGGATTTTAAAATTTGCAAGCTGAAATGGACCCTAATAAAAAAAGAAATGAAGGGACCTGAACTTCCCAGACATCTGCTGAGAAGAGCAGT